ACACCAGCACTCTGCAAAAGCAACCCTGCACATCTGTAATATACTTTCTCCTAGTTTTTATTCAATTCTCTTTTAAAGCCACAATTGAATCTCCTCCAACTTCTTTTCAGGTGGTACGTTCCGAATGATAACTATTTTTACTCATTTCGCTTTGATTTTTTCACTAATGATGTGCTGTCTGTTCTGAACCATTCCACCAACGAGAAATTTCTCTCCAGATCCCCTACACTAATAATTCACATCATTTGTGTATGGTTTAAACACTTATAGGAAAACAAATTTGTGCAATATTGTCAATAAGAATACACTTTAAAGTAATTCATCTGTTAGTGAGCTGAGTGCCTTACGCCTTTTCATGGTTTACATCCCGCAGTCTCCTTCCACTTAAATCCCGACAAGCCTCTCGGTTTGTAGTTTTCTCAATTTGAGCTCCGAGGGCACGAAGCATCGACCCGAAGCCTAAACAATGACATAAAGTTGAGAAGTTTACAAGCCACTCCACTGTCTGCATCAACTAAAATCTCAATAGGTCATTTCTATTTCTTTAGAAGCTGGAAGACTGCATTGTGACATTCTTATTAGAGAGAAAACAAAAGCAGAGATTCAGAGAATATTTATACAACAGCTTGTTGAAGTTAACTAAGTAGACAATGGCTATCCTGACATGTTGTGTTTTGCAATGTCATGCAAAATAATTTGAAATTAAAAACTGAGTGATTACAGCGTAAGTATCTTATTGTTTCCGAGTAGGCATCATCTACCAGATACTCAGTTTGTAAAGAGATTTGAAATGTGTGCGCAAACACATGTTCATCTAGATCAGATCATTAAGGGGTATTAGTGCAGCACCTACCAGTCATGTTAACAGACAGAGATGCAGGAGTCAGCCTCAGACTGTTCATAGGAACAATGACACCACATTAAGCAGAAGGGTACACAAAGCAGGCTCCAACTCTATGTAGCTAATAAAATAAATGAAGGCACAGACATGTGGAAGAATTACCTCCTTTCCCTCCGAAAAGTCTCTGTTCCAGACTGTAAATTCCTCCATGTTGTAGCTCAGTTTCTTCATCGACCAGTTTTCCATTATATTTCAGGTAAACATCTGCAATGGGGAGCCCCTATATTACAAAAATTAAATTTAAAGAAAAATAAAACCCAGGTACTGCATGTGGATTTCATACATATATTTCTTTCATTATTTATATATTTCATACACGTGTCAGTACAAGCACCAAAAAGGTAAAGCACTTCCCAAACTCTAGATTACCGATCTATACTTCAACATGATATGGACATAAGAAATAGGAACCAAGGTGGGCTACTTAAGCTTACTCCACAATTCAGCAAAATAATAGCTGACCTGCTATCTCAACTCCATCCCCCCACATTATCCTCATATCCCTTAATGCCATGTTGCAATCAATTATTCTTCTAAACCATGGGCCTAGTCTTCTCAATCTCACGTCACTGAATGATATTTTCATCCCGGGAACCAATCTAGTGTACCTTCATTGCACTCTCTCTCGGGCAAATATGATTTTCCTTATACAAGACAACCAAAACTGTACAGACCAAGAGTAGCCTCACCAATGCTCTATATAACTGGAGTAAGATTCTTTACTTCTATAGTCTAATCACTTTGTAACAAATACTAGCATATCAGTTGCCTTCCTAATTGCTCGCTATACTTGCATGTTAATTTTCTACAAGTGGAGTGAACTTCCAAAGGAAGTGGTAGATGCGGGCAGAGTTAAAACATTTAAAGGACGTTTAGGTAAGTATGGAGGGATATGGGCCAAACACAGGCAGGTGGGACTAGTTTAGCTTGGGATTATTGTCGGCATGGACTGGTTGGACCAAAGGGTCTCTTTCCGTGCTGTGTGACTCTCTATATAGTTAGGCACTCATGCCCCTGCACACAAACATTTCCCAATCTCTATTTAAATTACCATTTGGTATGACAGTATGAGAACTTCAACATTGCTGAAAAATGATCTATTCCGTTGAAGGTTTTTATCTTGCACATATCAGGACAATTCGCAATTTGAGGGAAAAACGAACTCACTGCGTGAGGGGGCAGTGTTAATTGGTTGGCAGAGGTATTGCCAGGGAGAATGCAATCATTAGTGCTGATTGGCAGTTAACTGCCAGGCTGTGTTTAAAAATCCAGGAAGGGGCCTTGTAGTGTAACGGTAGTGGTCCTACCTCTGAACCTAGAGACTCAAGTCAGAGTCCCACCTGCGCCAGAGTGTGTAATAACATTTCTGAACAGGTTGATCAGAAAATACCTAAACTCCACTCACCTACCCTTCTTTCCTCAGTTAAGTTGTTCCTTTGATCAAGCTGTTGTCACCTACATACTTCATTTATTTGACACCTTGATATTAAATCTGCCTCATTATATTAAAGCCATTAAATAGAAACAAACTGTTCTTGAGAGATACAAGAGAGCAAGAAAAGAGATGTGTTCAAGGGAAGAAAGAGAGAAGATAAAGAATGGGGGTGAGAGACTGCATGACTGTAGGAGGTTAATGGAGGGAAAGAGAACTGGACGCAAGTGGAATACAAGGGGACAGAAGTCAAGCTTTGCCTCTACAAAGGCCTTGTCGGAATCCACCTGGAGTACTGTGAACAGTTCCAGACACAACACCTTAGTGAGGGTACATTTGGAGGGAGTGTAGTGTTGGTTTACCAGAATGTTACGTGGATTCAAAGAGTTAAATCACAAGAAGCTAATACTGAAGAGCTGGATGAACACAGCAGGCCAAGCAGCAGAGGAGCAGGAAGGCCTGCTGTGTTCATCCAGCTCTGCACCTTGTTATCTCAGATTCTCCAGCATCTGCAGTTCCTGCTATCTCTGAAGCTAATACTGAAGAAAGGTTTATAGTAGGATTCCCTGGTGTACAAACAATACCTTTATTCCACGATAAAGAGGGAGAAAAATTACCAACGTATTTTTAAAAAATGAGGCAGTGTTATGTGATCTTAAATTGCAGAACACCATGCTGAGTCTGGAACACCGTGAAGCATGTTATCAACAGATAAGGTTGTGTGCTGCAAGCTTCAGTGGAGTTACGTTCAAACACTGTAGGAGGTTGAAGAGCGTGTGAGGGTCAGAGAAGAAAAATTGGATAACAGAAAGCACAAGTTCATGTTTTCACACTGAAGAGTTGTTCCACAAAGCGGCTAACCACCCTACACGTGCTCTCCCCAAGGGAAGTGGGGAGTGCATTGTGAGTGGTGAATACAATACACTCGCTTGAGTGTAAATCACTTTATACTTTATTGAGGAGGCAGGCTCGAATCAAGCAGACAAAAGAGGTGTTGCCTCTGTAGGGCAAGATGCCAAGGGAAACAGAATAGGTGGACAAGACAGTCACAAAGAGATTGGTCCTTCAGCGATGTTGACAGGAGTCTAGCCACCTCCTCACACAACCAGCATTCAGACATCTCCTGCTCAAATCTCTCCGCCCCCTCTCTCCCCCCCCCCCCCCGGCCGGGGGCTGGCGGCCGGCCCCCCCCCCCCCCCCCCCCCCGCCCCAGAGGCAGGGGGCTCGCGGCCGGCGCCCCCTCTCTCC